TCACACGTGGCGACCTCTTATTGATGTTGGGTTATGGTGGGCCCGCACTTTGTGGGCTTAATCAAATCTTATATTAATGGTAACAAGTCCACCGTTGACTCTTCCTCCTTTTTTGGGTTGTTCGTTGCCGACTTGTTTTATATTTTATTTTTAAAAATATATCTTTTAATTTTATATAGTATTTCAAAAATATCTTCATTAACAACTCTTAGAACTTCTTTAAAGATTAAAGAAAATATATTCTTAAAAGTATCATTAACAATAAATATATATTATCACCCTTTTAATATTATTTTTTAAATTTATTAGTATTTTTTATTATTTTTTTAGTTTTTTAAAAAATTAAGTGGGTTATTTAAGAAAATAAATAAAAAACTTCAAAAAAAAAAAAACTTTAATTTTTTTCTAAATTATTGAAAATATCGTAACTTCAAGATTATTTCAATAATATTCTTAAATATTTATGCTTCTATTTCTTGCTATACTTCACGACGCCCTAATTCTTCGTTCTTTTAGAAAGAGAAGCGTTTTTACATCTTCATAACTCGAAATGACAAATGGGTGAAGAGAGGAAATGTTCCTTTTTCTAAGGTACCCCGAGAACAACTCTAAGGTACTCTAGAAACAGATCCAATGGAGACGAAGTGGGGCCTATAGCTCAGAGGATTAGAGCACGTGGCTACGAACAACAATGTCAAGGGTTCAAATCCCTCATCCCACACCCGACCAAAGTCTTCATTTTCACTTTCACCTTCTTTCAATACTTTTGAGATCACGCAATAAATAAATAAATAAAGCCAACGAAAATTCGTTCACTTACAATCAATCCGAAGTCTAATTCATAAAACAAGTGTAAGTAACATGCAACGATGAAAGTTTAAGCACAGAATTAGAGGCCTATAATTAGAAGTTCACCTTAGTGGACAAGGAGAATGCACCTCGTTCGATTGAAAACTTCTTTCCTTCATCCTAAGATGTCACTGACAGACTAAAATCGGTCTCTAGCCTATTGTAATGAAGGAACTTAACAGGGGCATTTCTTCAATACTTCTAAAGTAGTATGTGGAACTTCCACACTAATCACTATGCTAAGAAGTAATGCATCACTGATTATGCAATAAAAACAATCATGTGGCAGCATGTGAAATGACAAAGGTTTGTATCTTACTTTATAACTAGTAACTAGAAAACAGGTTATCATTTCAATCCAAACAACCAGTGACTACATCATGATAAGGAGTGGCGCCTAAATGTTTCAGTAACAACTCAAGCTTACAGATAACAAATATGGTCCGCTTGGCCTGTTACATATCGCCGTCAACCTCACGGTTCTAAAAAGTGACTACTAGAGAGAGGTTTCCACACCCTTAAAGAATGCTTCGTTTCTCTCCAACCGATGTGAGATTTTACAATCCACCCCCTCCTCCCGCCCTCACTGACACACCTCTCAAAACCTGGCTCTAATATCATTTGTAACAGCTCAAGCCCACCGCTAGTAGATATTGTTTGCTTTGGCCCACTACGTATCGTCATCAGCCTCACGATTTTAAAATGAGTCTATTAGGGAGAGATTTCCACACCCTCATAAAGAATGTTTGGTTCCCCTCTCCTACCAATGTGGGATCTCACGGTTTCACAACAAAAAAAAACAGATCAAAACATAATTGACCAGTTTAAGCTACTTTCGTAATTCTAGACGGGCACTGAATTATAAAATAACAAACCGACTATTTTCACCTAAACTCAATTCTACTTTAAATTCTTAATTTTGTAAACCTGTGCAAAGTTCGATTCAATGTAAGCAACTGCAAAAGAATTGGTAATAGATCATTGATTACTGAGTGTTCCTTGAGGATATAAGGACTAAATGACACTTCACAAATGGGACAGAGAGATAACCAAATTCACATACGAAAGAATCAATCTTGAAACAACACCATCAATCGGGCATAATGGCATTATCTTAATGAAAATAAATCAAAGGCAAACTTTCAAAAATCATAGCACGGGCAATAAAATGGAACAGAGATGTGCCATAAAATAACACAATTGAATGGTGTTCGTCAACCAAAACTAACAGCTAAGTCAAAGAACCGGACTACCTAATTCAACAAGGATTGGCAAAAAAATGAGAAAATGAGAACTAGGAATCATTGGGTATGGCAGAGCTTAGAAAGAAAAGAAATGCCATTCATTCATACTGCTCCAGCCTTCCAATTAACTAATAGCATTCCAATGCCGAATAATATAATAGCAAAAGAGTCTAAACCATTAAGACAAAATCTAATTAATGAGAGAACAGATAGAAGGGTTGAACACAAAAAAGGCTTGTAAATTCAAAAGCATAAAAAAAAAAAAAAAAGAACCGAAACAAAAAACCAGCATCACGAAGTCTATTCCAAAATGCATATTCAATTCAACGGTAAGATTTTTGGAACCTCGCACGAGCTCCACGACCACCAAACTTCTTGGGCTCGCAGCGTCGGGGATCAGCGACGAGCAAAGTCCTGTCGTACCTGACCAGGATGTCCTTGATTTCCTTCTTGCTCTGCTCATCCACATACTTCTGGTAGAACGCGACCAAGGCCTTCGCAATGCTCTGACGGATGGCGTAAATCTGCGACGTGTGACCTCCACCCTTCACTCTGATACGCATATCGACTCCAGAAAACCTGTGTCGTCCGAGGAGGAGGATAGGCTCATAAGCCTTAAAACGGAGGATCTCCGGCTCCACGAGTTCAATCGGGCATCCATTGATCTTAATCAAACCCCTACCACGCTTGCAGTAGGTCACTGCCACCGCCGTCTTTTTCCGGCCGAAACACTGAACCGACTCAATCGGAGCAGCCATGTTTTCCGAGTTCAGATGGTTTACCTGGTTCGCCTCCTGCTACAAACCCTAGAGCTCTGAGAGAGAGGAAATTCTAAGAGTGGGCAATGAAAATCGAAGCGGAAAATTTATATGAGAGATAAGAGTTAGGGTTTTTAGGATGCGACGTTATCGGGCCAAAAAACGCACCGATTTACCTTTTATAATGGGCTTGGTTTTGAAATTGGGTCTGATAATATGTTGGGCTGAAATTTTGAATACCCGGCCCAATACGTCACCTACGGCCCATTTTACACTAAACAACCCTTTGGTAAATTTCAGAATACGTTGTGGGCCGGGCAGTCCAATAAGAATTTTTCTTTTGGTGATATTTAGTAATTATTAGGGAGCATGTGAAATAATAGTTTTCATTTAAACAATTTTGTATTAATTAATTATAATTAATTAATTTTATTATCTTGGTAAATAAAAATTAAATAGTAAATTAAAAATCAAATACAACTCCAAATAAAAATAAAAATAATGGCTAAATTAATAAATAAATAAATATTTTGCACAAAAATACTTTTAAACTCTAAAAAAAAATTGAAAAGTATTTTTAATTTTTTTTTAAATGAAAATACCCTATTCCTTTAATATTTATTTAAAATATACTCATAAAATTTTATGAGTAAAAGAAAAAATTTGGAGATAATCTATGAAATATCAATATAATACAGTAAAAATTATTTTGAATTAAAATTTGATAAATATTTTTTTAAATATAGGGAAGGGTAATTTTGAATTTTTTTAATGTCAAAAAATTTAGATATTTTAAAAATAAAATACCAACCATTTTTTAGATTTTTTTTTTTTTTCAATTTTTAAGGTTTTTTTTTTTTTTTTTTTTTAAGCTTAGAAATATCTTTTAAATAAAATATCCATAAATCCCTATCCATTTAATTTATTGCACCCACAGACCACGAAGTAGCTTAAGTGAACATTAAATTAAATGCTATAATTTATTTTTCGAATTTATCTCCAACAGTATAAGTTGTTGTTGTTAGGTGAGACTTGAGGGCAAATTTATGATGCTAGGAAAAAAAATATCAACCGTTAGATTTTTTTCCTATTATTATTTTATTTTCTTATTTTATTTTAGTACAAATTATATTGGTAAAACATTAAAAAATCATCGTTTAAATGAAAAATGAGGAAGGAAACAAAGATTTCTTCGTGTTAGTTAAAAGGGATCCCGAAAGTTATATTTCTCGTCTCCGTTCCCTCTGCCCGTTTAAATCTCCAACTATCATCTTCTCTAATCAATCGGCTCTGCATGTGGCAGTCATGGAGACTGCCCCTGCGGCGTCAAAGCCAGCAGGGTGGTGGAGAAGAAGATGAGTAGGGAAATTCATAAGCCATTGAAAAAAAGGAATCGAGGTTGTTAGATCGAAAGGGCTCTGACCACACTTATTTATAATAAATAAATTACAAGAATATGGAAAGAGTAATAAATAGAAATAACAAATAAATGTAAAGATACCTATGATAGGAAAGGATATTTGCCTTATAATAAAATATCAAATATAATATATACGATAAACTATAATTTAGTACTAAATATCCTTAACACTAGAGGCAAGTCAGATGTGTCGCAAACGATTGAACCGTGCAGGCAACGTGTGGTTGAACAAGCTTGGATTCCGCACAAGCGATGTTCAATTGGCGAAGACAAACCTCGCCTAAGGTCCGACAAAGCCACAAAGCTCAAGCGAAAAATATATATGGGGCTTAATTCCCCTTAAGGCTGGTCGTGAGCGTGTCAAGATCACAACGCCGTGCGGTAAGAAATGTAGGACCGTAATACTAGACCCCGAAAGTGGTGGATTGTGAGATCTCACATTAGTTAGAGAAAAGAACGAAACATTTTTTTCGTACTTTAAAAATCTCGAAAGAAAGCTAAAAAATGAAAGCTTAAAAAGGATAATATATTGATATATGTTACCGATACACATAAAACATAGAAACATCTCATCAATTAATGTCTAAATAAATATGATACTCATAATTATAACGTAATGGTCATAGGCGTAACGCTATTTTATATTATGTGACAATGCACACATTTATAAAATAAAGGAAAGTTTGGTTAAAAGGTATAATTAAATATAACTAAAAATAATATGAGGTGAGGACAGCGTTTCCTCTCCCCAGCATGCGTCTTCGCCTTTCCTTTCTTATGCCTGTCTGCATCCACTCTTCTTCTGTTCTGCTCTGACGCTGACATCTCGCAGCGCTAAGAATCGTCCACTTCCTCGAATCATTTCTCTGTCTCCACGAATTGTCATTTTCCACGAAGATGAACTGATGAACTGCCTTCTTCATCTTCGATTCGAGTAGAGCCTCTCCGATTCTTTGTGGTTTTGCATCGTATAGGATGGATTCGTCCACGTTCGAGACGGATGAACCACTGACGCCGGCCGGACGACTCTTTCTCCGTCCTGAAATTAACCAGATTATTCACTGCGTTATCGGAGTGCGGGACTCGATTGATGTCGATTCGGTTAAATCTCAAATCGCTGGTTCCGTAATGGTTCAGCATCCTAGGTTTTCGAGTCTTCTTGTTCGTGACCGGAATGGAGTTGAGTACTGGCGGAGGACTTCTATTGAAGTCGACCGTCACGTCATTGTTGTTGCTGAACCTGTATTGGACGATGGAGCCAGCGATGAGAAGGCGGTGAATGAGTATTTGGCTGATTTAGCGATTAATTCGTCGATGGATGCCGATAAGCCTCTTTGGGAGATCCACTTGCTTTTGGCGCACAAGTGCGCGATCTTCCGAATCCACCACGCGCTTGGCGACGGGATCTCGTTGATGTCGATGTTCTTGACGTGTTGCCGACGGGCAGACGATCCGAATGCTCTGCCGACGATCGTTTTGGATTCGAGGCCAGCGAGGAAAACCAGGCGGTGGAGGTGGGCGGAGGAAATTCCGAAAATGTTGTTGGCGGTGTGGTTTAACTTCCTATTTGTGGCGGAGTTTATACTTAGGGCTCTGTGGGTTTCTGACCGGAAATCGCCGATCTCCGGCGGGGATGGGGTGGAGCTCTGGCCGAGGAAAATGGCGACGGCGAAATTCGCGGTGGAGGATATGAAAGCGGTGAAGAAAGCGGTTGCCAACGTGGTAAGTTGGACTTCTCAAAACTAATTGAACTGTGGCTTTTAGCGTGACTTTCCTCTAAATTAGTTTTGTGGTTTGTTATGTTTAAGAGTTTCAAATCTGATGCTGAAAAGTTTATAAAAAAAAAATTCAAATGTCCACGTGTACAGAAATACCCATAAAATACGAATATTTTTTAAAAATATATAAATATAAAATACTTATTTAAAGTTTTTAAAATAACAAATAAACTTTTTTTTGTCATTTGAACTAAATTTAATTTAATGTAGGATAAATTTTATTTTTTATTTATGTATCAACTTTATTGTTCTAATTTGGTATTTGATTTAATTGTGTGGTATGTATGTAGGTAGGTGTATATCTATATCTTTATAGGTGATTGTATATATCTATGTCTGTCTAGGATTGTTGAGAGGGAGTTACATGTTGGTTTAATTTAGGGAATGATTATGGGTTTATAAATAAAGAACACATCTCCATTAGTATGAGATCTTTTGGGGAAGCCCACAACAAGACTAAAAGAAATTATGTTCAAAGTGGACAATATCATGTCATTGTGGAGAGTCGTGATTCCTAACATAGTATCAGTTGTGATATATACATATATCTTCATAGTTCAATGTATATATTTATGTTTGTTTATATATATAGAGAGATATTTTGTTGAAGATTGTTGGGAGGGAGTCCATGGGCTAATTTAGAAAATGAACACATATCTCCATTAGTAAGAGGTCTTTTGTAGAAGCTTAAAGCAAAATCATGAGAGGTTAGGCTCAAAGTGGACCATGTCATACAATTGTGGAGTGTCGTGATTACTAGTCTTGATATTTTATATTTATTTCATAGTTGAATTTTGCAAATTGGGTAGAACACAACCTTTTTTAGTTCGAGTGCTTTTATAGGTTTTGATTCTTGTAGTTTTGGGAAATGGGCCTACCCTACCTAATTGAAACTTTGTTGTTCTAATTTGGTTTTGATTTAATTGTGTGGTGAATATTATATATATATACATGTTTGTCTGACTATATGTGTGCATGTTGAACTAAAAAGCATAAATTTTTTTAGTTCAACTGAATGCTTTTATAGATTTTGATTCTGGCCGGAAACAAGTCTATCTAATTGAAACTTTGTTGTTCTCATTTGGATTTGATTTAATTTTGTGCTGAATAGATATCTATGTTTGTTTATATATATATAACCAATATTGGCCAGAAGCAAAAAAATGATAGTACAATTATGGATGAAAATGATAGCCAGCTAAACCTTTCACTTAACATGTTTGGGTTCAGAAAATTAATCAACCCAACCCGAAATTTTGTCTAATAAACCCTAAACCCGAACCAATTCTATTTGGGTTTAGAAAATTAACTCAATTCAACTGTAAATGTCAATCCAACCCAACCTCTATAATTCAGTTTGGTTGTCCGGTTCAATGAACACTCTTATTTAACATTTTTTTTCTTATTTTTATTTATAAAAAAGGAAAAAAGACAGAAGATAAGCAAGACAACATATGTGTGTTCATAAAAGGACCAAATATAAAATTTCTTTAACTATCACTCATTTTGGTTTTTTATAACTACGCTCATTTATATTTAAGTAAATAAGTTGATAAAAGGAAATTGCATATAAGGAGTTGAAGTTGTGGTTGCAGACAATGAATGATGTTCTTTTCAGCGTGATCGGAGCAGGCTTATCGAGGTACTTGGAGCATAGGCAACCCAAGGGTAAGTTTCTCTGTGTCCTTCAAACTCCACAATTTGGCTCTAACTATTTAAACTCCACTATAATCATTAGTCTCTGAGGTTATAAAATATGGTTGCAATGATTAATTATCATCAAATACATTTGGGCAACTTTTACCTTTTAGGTTTGAAAGAAGGGCTTCAGTTAACCGGAGTAGCTATGGTTAACCTTAGAGAACAACGGGGATTACAGGTTATCTAAAATATTTGTTAAAACTTCTTTCTAGGAAGATTTTCTATCCTTTCATAATTGTTAACTTGTTATAATGTATTTGGTGTAGGAATTAACTCAAATGATGAAAGGAAATAGGGGATTTGGATGGGGTAATAAGTTAGGGATTCTTCTCCTTCCCGTGAACTACGAGAAGAAAACACTTGATCCTCTTCAATGTGTCGTGAGAACAAAGAAGATGCTTGACCGAAAAAAACGTAGTTTTGAAGCTCATTTTTCGTATGGAGTTGGCAAGCTCATAATGTCATATTTGGGACCAAAAGTATGATCATACGGATTAACTCAATGAAACTTAGATTTTTCGTTACTATTATTTTGAGATGTTTAATTAAATGTATACAAATTTTTGTAGGTAGCTTGCATCCTTAATTATAGGATTGTTTGCAATACAAGTTTCACCATCTCCAATGTGATTGGCCCAAGAGAAGAGATTACCATCGGAGGCAATCCCATTACATACATTAGAAGCACTTCAACAAGCTTGCCCCATGTACTAGCCCTTTATTTTGCTTGTTTTAATGAAAAAAGTGTCTTTGAAGGGCATAAAAACTCATTTCTTTTTTATGCAGACAATAACGATGCATATGGTGAGCTATGCTGGAAGAGCTGAAATGCAAATTCTAGTGGCCAAAGATATCATTCCCGATCCTGAATTTCTTGCTGAATGCCTTGAGAATGCCTTGCTCGAAATGAAAACAGCAGCGACAATATTCCAGACCAAATAGTGTATGATAGTTGACTATTGACTATATTTAATTTTGTATTAATCATTTCCTAAATGTTGGTGATTAATTATTTGATTTTGAAATCACGAGACTAATTTAATAAAATTATACATCTTAGGAGAATTTAATTTATTCACATATATATAGATATAGATTGAAACCAAAATGGCTTGTATTAACATACAATTAAATGGATATTATAAATAAAATTTAAAATGTTTTTTTTTTTTGGATAAAATAAATAATAATATGATTTAGTAAATAATACTATGCATACCGTAATTTTTATTAATTTTTATATTTTTTTTAGAATCATTTCAAATTAAAAAAAAAATAACAAAATTTAAAATTAGAAATTAAAAATTAAATGGTTTCAAAGTATAAGAACATCTAAAAAAAATTATATAATTAAAACAAAAATTTCCTCTGTCTCTTGGCTTTTGGTCTTGGGTCTGACCATCTAAACGACGTAGTTTTACTCAACCGACCTTGTCGGAAATTAAATAAGTGAAGCAGGGGTAAAAGGGTAATAAAACCCTTTATTATGAGGGCAAGATTGGAATAAAGCAACCTTCACTTCTTCGAGACTTTCTTCTTCTCCCTTTCGGCGAGGCCCTGCGGAATGCGGGGGAAGAAGTACGTCATCGGCTCCGACGACTTTTAAGCTGCCTTATTTCGGCGAATCGCGGTGGTCCTTCGTGCCTTCCTTTACACCGTCACCTAGCAATGGAGATTGCGCCGGTGGCCGCGTCTTCGATCGACAGAGATGCAGTCAACGATGCCGCCTCTGTTGATGCAGTTCAAGCATCGTCTACGTCGCCGGATTCTGTACCAGGAAAAGAGGCGAACTTGTCCACGTCTTTTCCCGGACCTAAGTATGACGATGATGAAGAGGAAGAGGACGTCTGCCGGATCTGTAGGAACCCTAGAGATGCGGATAATCCGCTAAGTTATCCCTGCGCTTGCAGCGGCAGCATCAAGTTTGTTCACCAGGATTGTCTCCTTCAATGGCTGAATCACAGCAACGCCCGTCAGTGCGAGGTTCGTTTTCTTTTCTTCATGCCTGTTTCTTGTTTGGTTAGTTATTGGATTCAGTGACGTTTTTTGGGAGAGTTTTAGGGACCTTTCGAATTATCTGTGTGGAGAGAAACATTTGGGACTTCTTATATGGGAGCGATATTGGGGATGACATTAACGAGTTACTGAATGCACTTGGAACAGATTTAGACCTGTGGAAATTCGACCTGAATCTCTTAAACAAAGTTATTTGATCGTGGGTGAAAGTTTGATTTGTGAACTGGTGCAATTTTACACACTTCGTTGACATATTATAGAAAGGATTTCGTTCTGTTTATAGATGGGTATATATGTTCTCCCAAAAGACTAAAAAAATTGTGCCCCTTTTATGGTTCATTTTCTGGAAAAATATGTGCTTAGTAGTTAGTGCTCCATTCGCTAGGACTTCTAAGATGAAAAATACATATGGAACTTTAATTGTTGTTTGATAATGTTTTTCCATAGAGTGATATGGGCTTGGTAGATAGCTGATTTTTGTGAGGTATTCATTTTTTCTTTTGCATATTTTGTATCATATTAACTGTTGTTCTCGGTTTATATAATTCAAGAATAAGTTTTATATCTGCCTTTCTCATGGCAGTTTACATATATTTTCACATGTGGCAGGTTTGCAAACATGCATTTTCCTTCTCCCCTGTTTATGCTGAGAATGCTCCATCAAGGCTACCTTTTCAGGAATTTATTTTTGGAATAGCAATGAAAGCTTGCCATGTCCTGCAATTCTTTTTACGTCTCAGTTTTGTGCTTTCTGTTTGGCTCCTCATCATACCTTTCATTACGTTTTGGATATGGCGGCTGGCTTTTGTGAGGAGTTTTGGGGAAGCCCAGAGATTATTCTTGAGTCACTTGTCTGCTACCGTTGTTCTTACTGATTGTCTTCATGGCTTCCTACTTTCTGCTAGCATTGTATTTATATTTCTTGGAGCTACCTCCTTGAGAGATTACTTCAGGCATTTACGGGAGCTTGGAGGTCCGGAGGGCGAGCGAGAAGATGATGCAGATAGAAATGGAGCTCGTGCTGTAAGAAGACCTCCGGGACAAGCTAATAGAAATTTTGCTGGTGATGCAAATGGTGAAGATGCGGGTGGAGGCCAAGTCCTTGCTGGAGCAGGTCAAATAATTAGGAGGAATGCGGAAAATGTTGCTGCTCGGTGGGAGATGCAAGCTGCTCGTCTTGAGGCTCATGTCGAACAGATTTTTGATGTGGATGATGCTGATGGTGCAGAAGATGTGCCTTTCGATGAGCTTGTTGGCATGCAGGGTCCTGTGTTTCATTTAGTTGAGAACGCATTTACAGTTAAGTGTGCTGCAGCATTTTTCTTTGGATCATTGGACCGTGAACGGTTATGTTTAAGTATTATTTCATATGTATATTTGTTCTCAATTCATGGTAACTACACGCGTATTGGTTTTTTTTGGAGGTGATATCTTGTCCTTCTCGTTCAGAGAAATTAAAACGTCATTCATTTCTCTCATATTTTTTCATTGACTTAAACATTATCGAGTTGTAATATCTAATTGGTTCCACTTCTTTGCAGGTTTTAGCCAGCAATATGATATTTCTTGGTGTTGTTATCTTTGTGCCCTTTACATTAGGTCGGATCATACTTCATTACATATCATGGCTTTTCTCTTCAGCCAGTGGTCCAGTTTTCTCGACGGTGATGCCACTTACGGAGTCAGCTCTCTCCTTGGCAAATATCACATTGAAAAATGCATTGACAGCTGTTGCAAATTTGTCATCAGATGGTAAAGAAAGTGGTCTACTTGATCAGGTTGCAGAAATGTTGAAAGTCAACTCCAGTACACTAAACAATGTCTCAAACAACATAACTGCTCCACTTTCGGTGGATCTTTTGGAACGGGCAGCTACTGGAACATCGAGGCTTTCTGATGTTACAACTCTTGCTGTAGGCTACATATTTATATTTTCTTTAGTTTTCTTTTATCTTGGGACTATTGCTTTGATTCGATATACTCGAGGAGAGCCTTTGACTATGGGAAGGTTGTATGGCATTGCATCTGTCGCCGAAGCCATCCCCTCTCTCCTTAGGCAGTTCATGGCAGCAATGAGGCATTTGATGACCATGGTTAAGGTTGCTTTCCTTTTGGTCATAGAACTTGGGGTATTTCCCTTGATGTGTGGTTGGTGGCTTGACATTTGTACTGTTCGGATGTTTGGAAAGTCAATGGCTCAGCGCGTTCAGTTCTTTTCAATTTCCCCTCTAGCAAGCTCATTGGTTCACTGGGCTGTTGGCATTGTATATATGCTACAAATAAGCATATTTGTCAATCTTCTTCGAGGGGTATTTATATCTTTCATTCTTCTAATTTTTGGTTATTTGTTCATCAATAATGGTTATGCCAGTTACTCATTGTCTTGTCAACAATTTTATAGGTTTTGCGCAGTGGAGTTTTGTATTTTCTTCGTGATCCAGCTGACCCAAATTATAATCCTTTTCGAGATTTAATTGATGATCCTATGCACAAGCATGCTCGCAGGGTTCTTCTATCTGTTGCAGTGTATGGAAGTTTAATTGTAATGCTGGTGTTCTTACCTGTCAAACTTGCTATGAGGATGGTGCCCTCTATTTTTCCTCTTGATATATCGTAAGATTATTGTAATACTTGAGCAATGCTTATTTGTAAGCTGCAGTTTTACGTAATAACTTGGAATCTGTTGGCAGTTATCTTATTTTCATGACCATTTTCGTGGCAGGGTATCGGACCCCTTCACAGAGATTCCAGCTGACATGCTTCTCTTTCAAATCTGCATTCCTTTTGCTATTGAGCATTTTAAATTGAGAACAACAATCAAATCCCTTCTCCACTGCTGGTTTACTGTGGTTGGTTGGGCCCTTGGATTAACAGATTATTTACTTCCCAGAACTGAAGAAAACGTTGGCCAGGAAAATGGGAATGGAGAGCCTGGGTTGCAAGAAGAACTGCAGGTGGTACGTCTAGGTGCCCTGGAACAGGCTTTGGTGGCCCATGCCGCAGCTAACGAGCCAAACCAAGTTGTTCCTGCATCTGGGAACTTGACTAATGAGGAGTATGATAACGAAGAGCAGTCTGATTCAGAGTAAGTTCAAAGTTTTTTGCTCCAAGCATGAACATTATAATTGTAGGAGAGCTGGGCACTGTAATTGCAGTCTTGCTCATTTCTCTCTCTCCTGTTTGTTGCATGGGCTTTTCATTTCTACTTAAAACTATGGTGAATTCATTGTCATGATTTAGTTTACTTCTTTTGAACCATTTCTTGTGCTTGGTTATTATCAGCATGTTCGTATTTCTAAGAGTTAGTTATTAATCTTGTTTGGATTTTAGGAGGTATAGCTTCGCTCTCCGCATTGTCCTTTTATTGGTTGTGGCATGGATGACTCTTCTTGTCTTCAACTCAGCATTGATAGTGGTACCAACATCACTTGGACGGGCACTTTTCAACGCCATTCCGCTTCTTCCCATCACACATGGTATCAAGTGCAATGGTGCGATTACCTACCATTATTTTCCACGTTATGTTAATTACTAATCCTTTTAGGGGAAATTCTGACTTGTTGTATGTCTTTCCTTTACATAGATATGTATGCTTTTGTCATCGGGAGCTACGTTATTTGGACGGTGATTGCTGGTGCCAGATATTCCATTGAATATGTTAAAGCAAGGAGGGTGACTGTTTTATTGGGCCAGATATGGAAATGGTTTGCCATAGTCGTCAAGAGTTCTGCACTTCTGTCAATTTGGGTGAGATTGGCAGTAGTATACACACGGAAAATGCAGAAAAACATTACTTTTATATCAATTTTGCTTGAACTTGTAAGGATTTCTTGATTCCATGAATCTGACATACTTGTGGTTTTCAGATCTTTCTCATTCCAGTATTGATTGGCTTGTTATTTGAGCTTCTGGTCATTGTGCCTATGCGAGTTCCAGTGGATGAAAGCCCAGTTTTCCTCTTGTATCAGGACTGGGCATTGGGCTTAATTTTTCTTAAGATCTGGACCAGACTGGTAAGGACCCCCAAGAACACAGAACGATACATGAAAATTTATGTTCCGTCATTTTGATCCTACAAATATTGCATTACAATTCCACTTCCCCTTCTTGAACAGGTAATGTTAGATCATATGATACCTCTGGTGGATGATAGTTGGAGAGTGAAGTTTGAAAGAGTTAGAGAAGATGGCTTCTCCAGGCTGCAAGGATTCTGGGTTTTGCGGGAAATAGTTGTTCCAATCATAATGAAGCTACTGACAGCACTATGCGTACCGTATGTACTAGCTAGAGGAGTATTTCCCGTACTCGGCTACCCGCTGATTGTCAACTCAGCTGTTTATCGATTTGCTTGGATTGGATGTCTTTGTGTTAGCATGTTGTGTTTTTGTGCCAAGAGATTTCATGTATGGTTCACCAACCTTCACAATTCCATTCGCGATGATCGCTATCTCATCGGTCGCCGACTCCATAACTTCGGTGAAGACTCTGGAGAGAAGCAAAGAGATGTGGGGACTTCGTCCGAGACACAAGATGTTCTGTTGGGCAACGCCCATGCTGCAGCAGCTGGGGAAGGATTGCGGCAGAGACATGTTGTTGCTAACTGATACAATGTATATTTATTTCAATGTCTCGGCTGTGTCAGATGGTTTTGTGGCCCCAAATTGGGCTATAGTCAGTTTTTTGGTATGTGCATATGCTCTCTCTCTTAAGATCCACACATTTCCATTCATTTTCGCCTTTCTAGCTACACGATGTTATGTCTATGAAATTTCGAATACCGGGCTTTCTATGATTTATGAGGGAGTGAAAGATGTAAATCTTTTAGAAAAGGCATATATATTTTATGTTACAAACTATGCAATTAAATTTTTAAGATGGTAACCGTTCAATTTAAAATAGTAACTGTTCAATTGTAACAGTTTAAGCTCAACTTACCGCTATCAGATATTGTCTATTTTGATTCGTTACATATTATCATCAGTTTTACAATTAAAAACGTGTCCAAACACTTGCTTGGAGGGAGAGGTCAAAAGCTAACAAATATTGCCATTTTTGGGAGAGGTCAAAAGCTAGCAAATAGTCTGCTTAGAACCCATTACATATCATTGTTAGCATTGAAGGAATGCTCCAAAAGAAGTCCAAAAAGAACAATAACTAGGACCTATAAGTTACGGGCCCACACGCTTGGGCCGTTACAAAGATAGAGCTCTTCAAGTCTGACCATAATCTAAACTTAATATTTCTTTCATTTGATGAAATTATTAATTTAAAGACTATATGACTCAGTCAACAACTTACACATAATATTACAATCATAAGAGTAAGATTTGAAACATTCAATTCAACCGAAACTCATAAAAGGTAAGTTTGAACTACCATAGCGCATTTGAAGTGTTAATGAAAGCAACATGTTTCATCATATCAAAACTTAGCAGAGCATAGGTTCCACAATCATTGCCAGCAGTAATAGAAATCACTCGGTTCGAACAAAAGTAGTTGGAACTTCCCATCTCAAAGTCAATAATAAAAGCACCAAGTAGAAGAAAGGTTTGCAGCTCATTAAAAAACACAAGGGCAACATTCAGTTTAGGAATCAAGGTTGTCAGTCAGAGATAATGAAGCCAACTGATCAGCAGCTGCATTGCCCGTCTGCTGAGAAACACTTCTTAAAACCTCCATGGCCTCGGCAACCTTCGCCTTCAGAGCTTCCGGTGACTCGAGCAAGTGCAGAACCTCAGTTTGGTCCATTTCCAATAGCATGCCTGTTACCTTGGCCGCATTATCAGGCTCTAGCTGTTCCACAAGTGGATAAAGGTTTTCCCCAAGCATCTGGAAACCAACCAGACCAAGGATGTTATGACATGAAACACAACAGAGACCAGCCAACAGGATCAGAAAGTGGCGAAGTTATATAATTTTCATCTTAGACCCATATCTGGTAGTTTCTACGTTCATGTGTTTAGTAGCGAGTGCATTGAAAGCAAAATTACCACCCCAACAAAGTATATCATCATTCAAGATTTAAGGGGGAAAATCACTGACGAATTGGATCTAAAACCCTACCGTTCTCTGCTGGTCTGGAGTTGCATTTGCAAGGGCAGAAGCCAAAGCGCCAACAGGAACTGGTTGAGGGTGGACAGCATCCCGCGGCGGCATTCCACCCATCTCATATGGAACAGAGAACATACCTCCAGCAACACCAGGCATGGGAAGATCAGGCAGTCCACGCCCAGGAGGATAACGGTAGACACGTCCTCTTGGTAGCATCTTGTAGGTAAACAAACATTCGCCATTAGTGAATTGATTAGAACAAGCAATCATGGTCAAAAAGGGAAAAAAGAAGGCAGAAAAAACAACACCAACCTGCTGCTGCATCATTGGAACAGGCTGCTGGGATTGCTGAATAGCACCAGCTCGCCTTCCACCAGATCTTTGCCCTTGCTGGCCCTGCTGAACCATTGGAACAAAGAAATTTGGCATCGGACCTCCACCAGGCCTCATTCCAGGCATGAGTTGCTGCTGATAACCAAATCCAGGCTGAAAGAATTCAAAGAATGATTAATATGCAGTCACAATTTACAACCCCTTCAACTGAACAAGACATATGACGAAGAACATAATAGTTTTAATGCAAAACACAACGATCTAGGTTTCTTTTTGGAGGAAAAAAAAATAAGTTACCTGTGATGAAATAATAGTAGGTGGAGCTTGTCCGTAAAATATTTGTTGTCCAATACCTGGACCACCTGGAGGATACATTGGCATGCCACGAGGAGCAACTGAAGATGCCATTGCCATTGGCTGCATTTGGGAAAACTGTGCCTGAGGATGCACATAGATAAAATACGGACGATGTCAGCGGATAAATAAACATAGGCAGACGTCTTAATGTTGAAAAATGAAAAAGAACGGCACTATTTCACACTTGAAAACAAAATAATTGGTACAGACATACCTGCAACCTAGCTCTTCTGTCTTCCTTCCTCTGTGCAAGTGCAACATAAAGAGGTTTGCTCACAATCATTCTTCCATTCATCTCTCCAAGCTATCAGATGACAGAAATAGATAAGAAGAATTTCGTGGATAATTAACAGTGATGCGACAGTCATCCATATATCAAGAATAATCTAAACAATCTTCTTGTGCACAATAATGTAACTCACAGCTCTAGAAGCCTCTTCAGGAGTTGAGAACGCAACAAAGCCAGACCCTCTACTCAGTCCATTGGGATCACGCATAACCTGCAGGTACGAAAAGGATCAAGTCATTTCATAAAGTCAACTGGAGGATTAAAGACTATAAAACATAGTCCTTACAACCTTGCATGAGGTAATGGTTCCAAATGCAGAGAATAACTCCTTCAGTTTATCATCGTCAATGGTATCATCTAAATTCTTAACATATAAGTTTGCACCTTGATACTTGTCAGCAGCTTCTTTTACACTCTGCTCAAATCGATTCTTTAGTTCAACTTCCCTTTCAGATTTCTTCTGGGCTTTTCCAACATACCACTCTTTCCCATCAACCTTGTTTCCATTGAGAGCATCAACAGATCTAGCAGCATCGTCCGCATTTTCAAAGTTCACAAAGCCAAAGCATTTTGATTTTCCTTCCCCATCCCTCATGACCACAACGCTGGTAATTGGTCCAAACTCCCCAAACATATTCCTCAAATCTTCTTCAGATGTAGTTTCTGCTAAATTCTTAACAAAAACATTGTTAAATTTTGTTTTCTCACTGACACTTTCTCTTTCTTGCTTGCGAAGGAAAGGTCCCACGAACACCTGCTTGTCGTTGAGCAGCATACCATTCAACTTCTCTATAGCTTTTAAGGCAGCTTCCTCAGTATCAAATTGTACGAAACCAAAGCCTTTAGACTGCCCAGACGAATCTGTAGCAACCTTGCAGGAGAGAATGTTTCCAAATGCAGAGAATGTATCGTGCAACGCTTTGTGATCAATTGCCTTGTCCAAGTTCTATCATTTAAGAGTAGCATGTCGTCAAAACATCTAGCAACCATGCCATTGAGACAAGAAAACAAAGATCTTGCTACAGTACTTACCTTGATAAAAATATTTCCAGACCCACTCTTCCGCATGCTAGGGTCGCGATGCGAATACATGACTCTAATAGGATTCCCATTCAAAGGGGTGAAGTTTAGCACATCCAATGCCCTCGAAGCTGACATGAAGTCGAGGAGGAAAGAATGAGAAAATGATAAAATAAGACGTAATTCTTCAAATGGATACAACAGAAAACAAAACCAAGCAGAAGTTAAGAACGTGATAATATTGATTCCCCAAATAAACAAAAAAAACTTCTATTCCTTCAGCACGCAACATTACAATCAAGATTCAACCACCGTAGATCGTGCAAACTACCAAGAATCCTACAGCATCGAGAACATGAAATTAAAGACTATTTTCGAATTGTTTCCTTACATATGAATATAATTAAGACATCAACAAGCCAAGAAAAGCAGACATGCCGTGTTCTTCTCAAAATGAAGCAAGCAACAAGATGTCATAATTCGTAAAACGTGGAGGGGGCTGTACGAAAAAGACTCCATAACGAGACAGAACTGGAACAAAGACCCAATATGGCAACACATATATTCAAGGACAGAACGAACAACAATTAGGCAATACAGATATTAAGGCCATGACTAACCATCCACTGGGTTGCTGTAATTGACATAGCCATAACCAAGCGATCGACGGGTCGTCAAATCCCTGCAAACCCTAACAGAAACCACCTGCCCCACCTGATTAAAAAGATCATAAAGCTGGGAGTCGGTGACGTTCACGTCAAGATCTCCAACATACAACGACGTCGTCACATGCTGATTTCCGCCTCCATTGGCAGCCGGGTCGGCGCCGGAGTTGGGAACTTGAGGTTGAGGTGGAACCTGAGCCATTCTGAGAAAACTTTTTCTTTTCTTTTCTTGTTTATCAAAATTTTTTTAGATTTTTTTGATCATTGACTCGCTTCCCTCTCCTCTATTATTCAGAATCGAGCAGTAACACCAATATTAAAGGAAAAAATGCAAGAACGGAGGTGGATAATCCTACAGGACAAGGAAAAGAAATTGATTTTGTAAGAAGAAGAACAATGTTTTTGTAAGAATTTTCGTGGGGGTAAAATACCTAACAACAACAACAACAAGAAGAGTTTGTTTTTGGGGTTTGTTGCGAAGGCGAAATGATAGTGGAGGAGAGGGAAGGTTAAAGAAGGGATAGATGGTCGGAGTCCGCGATCCGACGGCGAAGAACAAGACCGAGATTGGTATCAGAGGGTTCCGATTTGGAGGGCAGCTGAAACTGCACTGAAGAATGGAAAATAGATTTCGATGCTTCTGCGCATTATATACCTCCGGTCCCTTTCCGTAAAAACCCTAAATCGGCGTCTTCATTTTCAAGCTCATCGCCACCGTACATCGTTTTTCTTTTTTTCTTTTGGTTTTTTCAATTCATCGGGCCGGCTCACCCCGGTCCAACTCTAAAAAACCTGAAACTCCAACCCCCAAATTCAGCGGCCTGTTTGGACCTGAATTGACTAATTAGATTCTAATAAATTAAATTCTAAACATTTAAATTTATTACATTCTAATAAATGTAATAATAAATCTAATAATATTTCATAAAAATATATATATATTTACATAATTACTAAAAACTTAAATTTTAATATTACAATACACTTTTTCTTACTTAAAAAATATATTTATTTTTTGATTAAATAAATAAATAAACAAGAAATGAATAATTCTATCTCAATTTTGATATTTATATCTATATATATTATAACAAATAAAAAAGAGGTCCATATCGGTCATGATCCTGATTCTCATAAGTAACGTTGCATTTCAATCATGATCCTAATTTCCAACAACATGGCCTACGTCTCGGGATGACATCCTAAGTTCAGAGACGGCTTCGACCATCGTAGCTTGCATAGACGTGTCTATCAAGAATCGTCCAATGTGTCAATCTGACACTGTTCTCGAAAAATTCAATCAAAATAAATCGCTTGAGACCCCATTGCAATGCTTGCCCACACTGTGACACATATGTGCCACCTGATAACCCACTTGAGCCATTGGGCCCACCAGTGTTGGAGAGATGACACCATGTCTCTCTCATACTACATTATAAGACATTTTTTGTGTGGCAGGAGTAGACATGATTTGGGCGAATGGTCATACAGTCTCGTGGAACATTCATACAGTGTCCAATTGACACCAAACTTGACGAGCTTCCATCTTTCATATGGACGGACTTAACTCAAGAGTCGCATGCCCAAACTCTTTCAAGAACCTCAACTTTCGATGTTGAGGCCCAAGACCCTACCCAACCCTCATCAAGCCTATCTTTGACCTTCTTGTCTACTTGTTGCCTCCATCTTGCTTGTACCTTATATTGGCTTCAATGCACATTTTTCTTGGTGATACATCGTCCTCCTCGATTGCATTATGACACTTATCTATCTTGACCCTCACTAGACCAAATGGGCACCACTTGACCGTCTCCACCTTATCTAAATACATGTGAGGGTCACAACCTATTCTCTTTTTAGTATGCTCGTGATATTTTTCCCTCATTTAAACTAATCATCACTCTCGATAATTTTTTCGATGACACAATTGCCCCCATGGATCATGACAAATACCACTATGATTCATAATATTTATTTTAAAGTTTTTTCCATTGATGGTTCTTTTACTTGATTATCTCAAAGCTTCTTATATATTTAAACATATATAAAATAACAATTTTTTGTCTTCTTCCTCTTTTTTAATTCTTTTTTATCTCAAAGCTTTTATAAGAATATTAGAATGAATTCTACGATAAAGAATATGATTCTTCTCATAAGTTTTATGAAATTATATTATATATTTAAAAATCATAAATGTGAAAATAATTAACAATTTTATTTATTTTTACGTGTATATTTTAAAATTTTATAACAAAATGTTAAATGTATTTTTTTATATATATCAACGATAAACCAACGGCAAATACTATTTTTAAGGCCTCCACAACTGGGCCGAGTTGACCTAAAATTCAGGCCCAATGGGTTTAAATGAGTGACCCAATCTCTAGAAATTAGGCCTATGGCCCAACACATGAACTTGGGTTGAGGTGGACGGACTTCAGCATGGCCCATGACAATTATTTATTTATATATATATTTTTTTGTAGTCTATTGACTTTTAAAAAAAAATTCATTAATTTAATTTAATAAATAAATTTATATTTACTTTTTTAGAATATTGTACGATTTTTTAGAGAAAAAAAATTGGGAATTGTTTCTATTAAAACCAAAAAGTAATATTATTATTAATTTGAAAGAAATTATTATTTTTAAGTGATTTTGATTTATATTAAAATTTAATTGTCTTAATCATAAGCTCTCGTGGCTTTGCTTTAGATTTCTGTAAAAGACCTCATACCAAATGAAGATCTATTCCTTAGTTATAAATGTACGATCAACTTCTAAATTAGCCAATGTGTGACTCCCTCTCAACAATCCTCGACAATCTTCCCTTCGAACAAAGTACAACATAGAGCTTCCCTTGAGGTCTATGGAGCCCTCGAACAGCCTCCCCTTAATTAAGGCTCGACTTCTTTCTCTAGCGACATCGAACAAAGTACACACTTTATTCGACACTTAGTCACTTTTAACTTTGCTTTCATAGCTAAGTTTAGGGCATACATAGTAATATGAAATTCCATGTCCCTTAGAGCCTAATCTAACTTTTATCACGATAGTCTAATCTTAAGTTTTATCCCTAATATCCTTTACAACCTCATCTTAACTTTGGGGGATCTCGTCAAAGGTAAAGTTGTGGAGAAGGCGATAAGGAGAATAATGGAGGGGGAAGAAGCAGAGGAGATGAGAAATAGAGTTAGAGAACTGAGAGAGACAGCGAGGAGAGTCGTTGCTGAAAATGGATGGATCGTCTTATTCCGATTTATATGCTTTGTAAAGAAATTGAATTCGTTGGCGTTTTAAAGTTTATTTAGTTTGCTTATAACTCCAAATTTTGAGGTTAGAGCTCGGGATCCTACTTCACCCTTGTCAAGCTTACCTTTGATCTTGTTGTTCGCTTGTTTTCTCCATTTTGCTTATGTTTTATAAGGGCTTCAATGCACATATTTCTTAGTGTTATATGATACACCATCTTCCTTAGCTTCATCGTGTTGTCTGCTTGGCCTTTGCATCATGCCTATTGACATACGAGAGCTACAATCTACTTTCTTCTTAGTATACGTGTGACCTTCTCTCACTTAAAAGACCACATATACTGTTGTTCTAAGAAAAAATTTGTTCAAAGAAATGTGACATCTTTCAACATGGAGATGGAGGAGGAATAGGATGCAGAGGTAATATGTCATAGAAGAAGACGAACTAGCGCTCATGGCAATGATGGGAGAACATATCGATTACGAGAATGACTGGATCATTGATTCAGGATGCTCAAACCACATGATTGACGATCAGAGTGATGCAATGGAAGTAGGGTGGCCTTTGGAGAAGGAAGTATTATCAAACTTTGACAACATTGAAAGAATTCTACCACAGAAAATGGGGAAGCAAATTATACACATTTGCTTAAGTGTTGGTGACTGTTGGTGAGCAATAAGTGATTAAATCAAGCGAACCTAGTGAAAAGGAAATGACACCTCAACAACTTAAACAGTCCAAAAGAATCCAAAAGTTAAATTCAAAGTAGGTCAATATAATCATTATAAAAGATGAAGTTAAAAGGTTAGAGACGTATGAAGAAACATCACAAAATATAACTTACAACGGATGAAGAAATTATAATCTTGAAGCAAAATCAAACTTGAGAACAAGTGTCAAGACCATGAGATATCAAATCTATCTTTTGCAAGTGGATTTACAAATAAAATGTACCCTGGATGGATTAATCGTGAGATACAAACCTCGGACTGTAGTTCCAGGGTTCTCTCGACAATATAAACTAGGTTATGATGAAACGTTTAGTTCAGTGGCAAAGATCATTATCGTGCAAGTTCCTTCAGTCTTGTGGTAAATAAAGATTTGTAATTATGGAAAATGGATGTAAAGAATGTTTTATTGCATGGAGAGTTGGACCGGGAGATTTACCTAAACAAACCAAATAAATTTTAAAAATGAAGTTGAAGTCATTAGTCAGTACATGCAAAGTCCAAAAAAGTAGTACAATCGATTATGGTATTTTGTATAAAAGAAATGAAGACTGCAAGTTAGTTAAATACCATGATATTGACTAGATATCACGATACTCGAAGGTCAAACACTGGATATGTGTTCAAGCTTGGTTTGAGCACATTGTTTTCGATGTAGTAAAAGACAACCAACAATATCATTGTTAACGATATCAAGCAAGATGGGGTCCTCGATCCAACTATCACATTGGCTCCTAGTCTCATCTATTATGACCTTTATATCGACAATAAGATATATATATATTATAACAATTATAATAATAATAAATTTAGGTATCTTTGTCAACACCTCACCATCTCACAGACTGCGTGGTGGGTGACGCAATCGCTTACGCCATTACATTTGACATTTAAATAAAAAATAATGATAAGGAATTTTCTTTTTTTAATATTTTAACAAATTGAATTCTAAAATTAATAATTTTTATCAGGCTAATACTCTCATTAATTTTAATAAAAACAACAAAATAAATTACATTAATTTATTAATTTAATAAAATAAAGTTTGAGACAAAAATAAGTTCAAATAATGCATAAATAAATTATAAATCATTGAATAATTTTTCTATATTATAATTATTTTTTAACCACTATTTTATATCATAAGTGTTGTTACCCTATATAAATCCAAATTTCAATATTAAATATTTGCTTGTATATTATTATTTACAAGAAAATAATAAAAATCACGTGGATGTACAAGAATATATATATATATATATATATATATATATATATATATACATCTACCTTCTTTCCTCTTCATTTCTACAGGCAACAAAATGGGCACTCAGCTCCACATGTTCTTATTCCCTTTCATGGCGCGCGGACACATGATTCCCATGGTCGACATGGCCAAGTTGCTCGCAGCTCGCGGCGTCAAGGTCACCGTCGTCACGACCCCTCTCAATTCCATCGCCATCTCTAACTCAATCCACACTTCAAAATCCCTCTCTGTTTCAAACATTCATCTTCTCATCCTCAAATTCCCCACTGCCGAAGTTGGTCTGCCGGAAGGTTGTGAAAATGGCGACTCCGTTATCGCTCCCGCCATGTTTCCCAAATTCATCTCTGCTTTGAATTTGCTTCAAACCCCATTTGAAGAGGCTTTAATGGAACACCGCCCCCATTGCATTGTCGCCGATATTCTCTTCCCTTGGGTCAACGATGTCGCTGCTAAATTTGGTATCCCCAAGCTGAGCTTCCATGGTACTTGTTTTTTCTCGTTCTGTGCTATGGAGTTCGTGAGGATTCACCAGCCTTATAACCATGTTTCATCCGATACAGAGCCTTTTCTCATTCCTCATCTCCCAGGGGAGATTTCTTTCACGAAATTGAAACTCCCCGACTTCATACGGGAGGATATCAAAAGTGATGTAACAGATTTTCTTAAGACGGCCCTAGAGTCGGATTCAACGTCTTATGGAGCTATTATGAACAGTTTTTACGAGCTGGAAGCAGAGTATGCAGATTGCTATAGAAATGTGTTGGGAAGAAAGGCGTGGCATATTGGTCCACTTTCGTTGTGCAATCAGGAAATTGAAGAGAAATCTCAGAGAGGAAAGGAATCCGCCATTGATGAACACGAGTGCTTGAAATGGCTTGACTCCAAAAAACCCAATTCGGTTGTGTATGTGTGTTTTGGAAGTATGACGAAATTCAGCTCCGATCAGCTGAAAGAGATTGCAAATGGGCTTGAAGCTTGTGGGAAAGATTTCATATGGGTTGTCCGGAAAGTGAACGGAGAGGACAAGGAAGAGGATAAAAAATGGCTGCCGGAGGGGTTCGAACAGAGGATGGAAGGAAAAGGGTTGATTATAAGAGGATGGGCGCCGCAGGTTCTGATATTGGATCATCCGGCGGTGGGTGGATTTGTGACGCACTCCGGGTGGAATTCGACGCTGGAAGGGATAGCCGGCGGTGTTCCGATGGTGACGTGGCCGGTGGCGGGGGAGCAGTTTTACAACGAGAAATTAGTGACAGAGGTGTTGAGAATTGGAGTTGGTGTTGGGGTTGAGAAATGGGTGAGGATTTTGGGGGATTTCATCAAAGGGGAAGGTGTGGAGAAGGCGATAAGGAGAGTAATGGAGGGGGAAGAAGCAGAGGAGATGAGAAACAGAGTTAGAGAATTGGGAGAGATGGCGAGGAGAGCCGTTCTTGAAAATGGATCGTCCTATTCCGACTTAGATGCTTTGATTACCGAATTAAAATTGAAGTTTATCTAGTATGGTTATTAAGTGTTTGGGGAGTCTCCTCGTGTCATATTGTCAACTTTGATCATAACTCAGTGTGATTTTGTTTTGGATTTCTATCAATAAAGATGTATTATTTTACTTATAAACAGATAGATCATTACCTAAATGAGCTCACTCTTCTAATCATCATCAACAAATATGTGGCTCTCACTTCTTTATCCACAAAGAAAGTATTTGAACAATGGACTAACACGACTGGGCCGAGTTGACCTAAAAAAGAGCAGGCCCAAAACACTTTTTGGGTTTAGATGAGTGGCCCAATCTCTAGAAGTAAGGCCTATGGCCCAACACATGAAGTTGGGTTGAGGTGGACGGACTTCATGGCCCATGAAAATTATTTATTATTTTTTTATTTTTGTTGTCTATCGACTATTTTAAACTTTTTTTTTTCATTAATTTAATTTGATTTTGATTTTTTATTAAATTTATATTTACTTTTATAAAATATTGTAATTTTTTTAGAGAAAAACAATTTAATGAGTCGAACAGAATGAACCAGAACTCGAAACATGCTCCTCACTCCACTTGCACACGCTTCTTCAACCTCCTCGAGACAATCTGAAATTTCATATCTTTTTCATTATTTCCTTCCATGTCCCTTCCATGATAACTCGACCTTAAGACATTCCATTATTTTCTTTCATGTCCCTTACATAATAACTCAAGTTAGTGTCGATATTTAAAGAGTTGAACTGAACGGACGGGAACTCGAAACATGCGCCTCACTCTACTTGCTCACACTTCTTCAACCTCAAGATAGCCTAATATTCCAGATCTTTTTTATTATTTCCTTCTATGTCCCTTACATGATAAGGGAAAACTCGAGACAACTTGAAATTCCAAATCTTTTTCATTATTTTCTTCCATGTTTCTTACGTGATAACTAAAATCTTTTCTATTATTTACTTCTGTTAGATAAAACCTGAGTTTTTCCTTATTTAGATTCACACGATTTCGTTGATTGAATACCTCAGTTTGATCATTTGACAAATACGTCAAATGTAATACCAAAGTTTTAGACGGTAATTTTGGAGGGAGTGTCACAAATTTTCTACAGTCATTCTTATAATAAGTTATATTTAAAAAAGTAAATCTGTTCGGAAGATTTAATACACCTAATTTTAAGCATTCAACAATTCTCTCCCTTTGTTATTGTAGGCGTTTTATTTTCTTCCAACAACTTCCCATCAACGATTTCCTCTCACGGAAAAGAAAAGGATTTCCCAGATTATCGAAAAACAACTTCCATGTTCCTTACATGATAGCACAATCTCGAGACAATTTCCTCCCACCGAAAAGAAAAAGATTTCTCTGGCCTATTATCGCAAAACAACAACTTCCATGTCTTTTACATGATAACACAATCTCGAGACAGCTTGAAATTTCCTTTCATTGTCCCATACATGATAACACAACCTCGAGACAACTTGAAATTTCCTTTCATTGTCCCTTACAGTCTAACCTTAACGTTTACCATTATTTCCTTCCATGTCTCTTACATGATAACTCGAGTCAGGGTTCATATTTAAGAGTCGAATAGGACATAATGGAACTCAAAACATGCGCCTTACTCCACTTGCTCACGCTTCTTCAGCCTCGAGACAGCTTGAAATTCAAGATCTTCTCATTATTTATTTCCATGTCCCTTCACAATAAAACTCAACTTGGGGTCAATATTTAAGAATTGAACGGGACGAACCGAAACTCGAAACATGTGCCTCACTCCACCTGCTCATGCTTCTTCAACCTCGAGACAACTTGAAATTCCAGTTCTTTTCCATTATTTTTCTTTTTCCATATCCCTTGCCTAATAACTCGAAACCTTTCCATTATTTACTTCCATGGTCCCTTACCTAATAACTCAAAAATTTTCTATTATTTCCTTCCAAGGTCCCTTACGTGATAACTCAATCAATTTCCTTACACGTCTTTTACCTAACCTTTCATGTTCCTAATCTAAACTGTTACCATTATTTCCTTCCATGTCAACGACAGCCTAATCTTTTAACTTTTTCCATTATTTACTTTCATGTCCATTACATGGTAACACAATCTCGACACAACCTAAAATTTACTTTCATGTTCTTGCCTAATTTTTTACTTTTACCATTATTTCCTTACATATCAGTTACAAGCTCATCTTTAAAGTTTTACTATTATTTACTCACACAATGGTAACACAATCTCGAGACAACCTAAAATTTCCTTTCATGTCCGTCTAATTAACTTTTACCATTATTTACTTTCATGTCCATTACATGGTAACACAATCTCGGCCTAAAATTTCCTTACATGTCCCTAGTATATAATCTCCACTTCCCTCTACCTTTCTTCTCCATCTACCTTCTTCTTCTCCAAGTTTTCCTCTTCATTTCTACAGACAACAAAATGGACACTCAGCTCCACATGTTCTTGTTCCCTTTCATGGAGCGCGGACACATGATTCCCATGGTCGACATGGCCAAGTTGCTCGCAGCTCGCGGCGTCAAGGTCACCGTCATCACGACCCCTCTTAATTCCATAGCCATCTCTAACTCAATCCACACTTCCAAATCCCCCTCTGCTTCCAATATTCATCAACTCAACCTCAAATTCCCCTCTGCCGAAGTGGGTCTGCCAGAAGGGTTTGAAAAAGGCGACTCCATTGTCAGTCCCGCTATGTTTCCCAAATTTATATCTACTTCGAATTTGCTTCAAACCCCATTTGAGGAGGCTGTAATGGAACACCGCCCCCATGGCATCATCGCCGATATTTTCTTCACTTGGGTCAATGACGTTGCTACTAAATTTGGCATCCCCAAGCTGAATTTCCATGGTACTTGTTTTTTCTCCTTCTGTGCTATGGAGTTATTGAGGATTCACAAGCCTTATAACCAGGTTTCCACCGATACAGAGCCGTTTGTCATTCCTCATCTTCCCGGGGAGATTACTTACACGAAATCTAAAATCCCCGTGTTCATGCGGGACGATGTCAAAAATGATATAACCGAGTTTTTTAAGAGGGCCCAAGAGTCGGATTCCACGTCTTATGGGGTTGTTGTGAACAGTTTTTACGAGCTGGAAGCAGAGTATGCTGATTGCTATAGAAATGTGTTGGGAAGAAAGGCGTGGCATATTGGTCCACTTTCGTTGTGCAATCAGGAAACTGAAGAAAAAACTCAGAGAGGAAAGGAATCCGCCATTGATGAACACGAGTGCTTGAAATGGCTCGACTCCAAAAAACCCAATTCAGTTGTGTATGCGTGTTTTGGAAGTATGACGAAATTCAGCACCGATCAGCTGAAGGAGATTGCAAATGGGCTTGAAGCTTCTGGGAAAGATTTCATATGGGTTGTCCCGAAAGTGGACGGAGAAGACGAGGAAGAGGATCAAAATTGGCTGCCGGAGGGGTTCGAACAGAGGATGGAAGGAAAAGGGTTGATTATAAGAGGATGGGCGCCGCAGGTTCTGATATTGGATCATCCGGTGATGGGTGGATTTGTGACACACTGCGGGTGGAATTCGACGCTGGAAGGGATAGCCGCCGGCGTTCCGATGGTGACATGGCCGGTGGCCGGTGAGCAGTTTTCGAACGAGAAATTAGTGACAGAGGTGTTGAAAATAGGAGTTGGTGTTGGGGTTCAGAATTGGGTGAGAAGTTTGGGGGATCTCATCAAACGTGAAGCTGTGGAGAAGGCAATAAGGAGAGTTATGGAGGGGGAAGAAGCGGAGGAGATGAGAAACAGAGCTAAAGAATTGGGAGAGATGGCGAAGAGAGCCGTTGCTGAAAATGGATCGTCTTATTCCGATTTAGATGCTTTGATTAAGGAATTGAAATCGTTGGCGTTTTGAAGTTTATTTAGTTTGCTTATTACCCGGTTTCCGGGAATTGATACTCCTTCCCATTTTTTAATACTTGCGTCAGTCTTGCTTATGTCTTATCTTGGCTTCAATACACTTTCTTAGTGTGTTATATGATGCATCCTTCTCCTTAGGTTCCGAGGTCTCCGTCATGCCTATCGACATATGAGTGTCACAATTTACTATTTCCTTAGTATACTTATGAACTACTCCCTCACTTAAACTAGTCATCGTGTTCGATAAATATTTGAGTAATAAAATCGCACCTTAGATTGTGATAAAAAGCATGGGGAAGTGATAATTCATCATTAGGTGTCAAGCTTAATAATTGTATGAGTCTATCCGAGTGAGGTTGGTGTAGGTTGTCTTATATTTTGATATTCTTACTATGCTCTGTGGTTGTAGTGCTATCTGATCTTCCACATCAAAAATGATTTCTTAAGATTATTAGTGAGTGAGTTCATTTGTATCGTGAGTAGTCGGTGACTCTTCAAGTTTTGTGTAAAAAAGGCTTGTTTGGTATTATTGAAGTCTTACCAACACGATGGACGATTCCCAAATCGTTGGAGGAATTAAGAAACTCAACAGGAACTACAATAAGTGAACAACATGCACGATGTCTTATTTACAATGCCATGACATTTGGGAGATTATTGGCAAGAATGAAACTACGTCGCTAGAGGAGGATTCTAACGGAGAATCAAATCAGGCAAAACAATGTTTACCTTGAAGACCACAATTGAAGAAGAGTTGTTAGACTACATTTAAGATGACAAGACACCAAAAGAAACATGTGACACGTTCTAAATGTTGTTCTCAAGGAAGAATGATACGAGGCTACAACTTATGGAGAATGAGTTGTTATCAATTTCACAACGTGACATGACAATTGTTCAATACTTCCACAGATCAGTCAATTTGCTGAGAGATTAACGAACCAAATTCAAAGCCCGCAATTGGAAAAGTTGAAATAAAGACAATCATTATCCACAAATTGCAGTTAGAATATAGAAGCTTCGTATTACTGTACAAGGGTCATCAAATCAACCATCACTTGTTAAGTTTGAAAATTTGTAAGCCATGTAATTTGTTAGTCAATCAAGAAGTCATGGCTAAACAAATGAGAGAAATCACAAGCCATGAATAAGAAACACTCTATAGGAACTACACAACTAGGTAGAGTTCATCCTCTAACATAGAGATGGAGGATGAATAAGATGTAGAGGCAATATGTGTCATATAAGAAGATGCACTAGTGCTCGTGACAGTGATGAGAGAACATATTGAGTACGAGGACCAAAAGTGTGTATCAAAAGGATTCGAACCGAGGATGGAAGGAAAAGGGTTGGTTATAAGATGATGGGTGCCACAAGTTTTGATATTGAATCATCTGGTAGTGGGTGGATTTGTAACACACTCCCGATGGAATTCCGCTAGAAGGGGTAGCCACTGACGTGGCATGATACGAAATAAAGTGTTTTA